CTGTCCTTAGCTCCCATGCCCTGGTGCGTTTGCCAGGCCTAGCAAGAGTACTCCTCATCTACAAATTCAGAAAACAACAGCTAATTACTTTTAGACAGTGCTAGTAAAGAAGGTATGAGACAGAGGTCTTCAGAACTCCTTGCACGTGGGCAAACATTTTGCAAATAGGTATCGTGCATTCCAGCGCCTAGAACTATCTCAGCAGAATTAGGCTGCCCCCATCCATTACCAACAAAGCAGTCCCCAAGGGGGCACATCGCCAGGAACTGGACGGCCCCACAGAGGACTGGCATGACCCCAGGCTGGTACAGACCATGCTCTGCTCCACCTGATCCAACTGCCATTCAACTTCAGCAATCAACAGCAAAAACAGGGACGATTTAGCCATAGATCTAAATGGCCAATTAATAAAACAAATATTCCAGAGTAAAGGCAACATCCCTTCCACAACAGCTTTTTCCAGACGAGTCATGTACTCCGTTTTTATAGAAAATAACCTACTTAAAGGCCAGCTATGATGCTAAATAAAGCCCACCTTAATGCAGGTGAAAGCTATTTAACTTGAAAGAACTGAATGAAACCACTTTGCTTCCAATCTACACCACAGCTACACACCAAAGGAAGCATTTTTAGAACGGTCCTGCAAATCCATGGCAAATAAGCAGGGCATATATTAGTTATATGGAGGTCAGGATCATGAGCGTGATTCCTCATTCCAGGAATAGCAGGACTATCTGGTGTCTATTCTGGTCAGCCCAGCTTGGATGCAAAACAAGAGAATACTTTTCAATAGTGACATGGACAGTAGCGTATGTCCTTCAAGGTGCTAGCTTAGATCCTGCCAACATGCAAAGGAATCTTCTGGAGAACTGATGGGGAACAAAGGCCAGTACACATCTGAAAAATCTGTTCCACACAAGAGAAAATTCATTTTAAAATTATGGTGAATAGTTTCAGCTTGACCTCCTCTCAAAAGAAGGGCAGAAGAGGGATACACAATTGATGTACACTCCTTGAGCACTCCACAATGAAAGGTACGTCCAAATCGCTTGTTGCAAAATCCAGACTATGCACTTTGGGTGTACAGGTATTAGCAACAAATACAACAGAAATGGTTACTAACTGCATGGCTTGTGGAGGACATACACAGTACAAGTTGTTAATTTTGTACTTAAAAGTCCCATTGTTTTGTTAATTTGCATGTCAGACATCCAGTTGTTGCTCTTGCAACTTCCACTGACTTTTTATAGTGCATTTCTCTGTAATCAATGCATATTCATGATAGAGGGAGTGAAGTTCAGACAAGGAAAGCACTTATCCTAAAGTTAGAGAAAAATTAACATCAGAGAAGCTCCATCACCTCACAGTGTTTGCCTATTCATCCAAAAGGAAAGATTCCAAAAATAGTAACTACCTCTGTGAAATCAAAAAGAGGGGGGGGGGATATTCTTCTTCACAATGATGTCTGAAAGCAATCTCACATAGAAACACTCTGGGCAGCCGCGCCTGGGAGGAGAGAGGAAGCTACAAGAAGAGGTGTACAGGAACACAACATACGGAAACCATCAGAGAACCAAAGGGGAAGAGGAGCAAGAACACCATTAAGAAAAACAAATGGAAGTAGGAAGTCATCATCTACCCTCAAACAGGAACGCACAGATCCCCATAACGGGAAATACAAGGCCAAATTCCGCCCTCAGACTCCTAGGAAATCCAAAGTAAACTTTCCTTCCGCATTTGAAGAAGTAATGGATATTGGAAGGAAATGTGTCCATGGATTAAACTTCCCAGCAGAAGTCTGCTCCAGTGCACAGGAGCTGGTGGGGCTACACCAGAGCAAACCACCAGAAGAGTTGCAGGACACAAGTGGAAGTGATGGTTCCCTGCGCTGTTACACCAATACGAAAACCTCCGGGAAAGAACGCAAAACACATTACCCATTGCTCTCTCCCAAGCTAGCCAGTTAAATCATCTCACTCAAGTGAACATTATGTTGAACGCAGCTTATGTATTTGCCATGATCCTTGCAGAAGGAGGACCGTAGAAAAATACTTGCCTAAATAGAGCATAATAAAGTTTAATCATAAAATAGCAAGAATAAAGTTGAGGAAAGGGAGTTAGTGACATACTGTAACAAATCCAGTATTCAACTAAGTACTACAGATTTAATGTAATCTTTGCGCGACAACTCCCAATTCTCTTGAGATGGATTTGACCTCATTTTTATTTAAAAGTGCAACTGAAACATTTATAAACAGCCCTTGAAAAAGTATTCAGGTGCAATTTAACTGTTAAGCATCTACAGTGATTTTGACTTGGCAAGTCAACTCTAAAACTGTGTTTGAAGCTCATTTTATGAGATCCTAGGGAAAGGGGATAGTTGGATCTGAGAAAGTAAGACTTCTAACCACTGCCAGCCATCCCTCCCACACACCAACGGATTATATCAAGTCTGAAAAAATATACACACGGTGAGAATTAGCTAATGTCCTAACTAGTTCTCAAATCAAAGAATATTTATCAGCCAAAGTAAATTCTACAGCAAATAACTGGCTTCACAGTGGAAGGGAGAGGGGGAAGTAGGTCATACCAGATCTTAATTAAAAAAACTGGGTATACTGTCATTGCACACAATAATTTGATGAAAACCAGTTGCCTCACCACATCTATGATGTCTATCTTTCACTACTTCATTGAGTTTTTTTAAAAAGTGAGTTTGATAAATTTCCGGTAAGTGTTACTGAAGCAAGCCTTAATGAAACAAGGCAATTTTAAATGTGGAAAAGTGTCATCAACTTGTCAAACTGCAACTTAACAGTCAAGCTCATCAGACACATTATATTTCAAGTAATAAATTATCAATGATAACTCATTAAGTATCTTTAAGTCAGTCATTTATTTTAAAAATTCTGAAGAATTTCCCCTGCATCAACTCGTACGTCACATACTGTTAACACCCAAAGCAATACCACAACAAAGAACTCTGACCTCCCAGGTCTTCTCAACATACGACACTCACTCACAACATTCAATCACTCCTGCTTTTGGTTATATTTATTCATAAATCATATAAGTATGCAAGAAGACATGATGGTCTATTGAATATTTTAAATACTTTCTCAGATTCTACAAACAAAAGCAAATTAAAAAGCAGCAATAATGAATAGAAAGCTGATGAATTAAATGAATTAAAATTAGAAGCCATTCATAAGGGTCCATTAAAAGCTAAATAGAAGTACAATGTTCTAGACCCGAGGATCACATCTGCAAGTAAGGCTGGCTACAGCTCTTAACCTGAAATCACCAACTACTACCCTTTTTAAGGGTCATTTACAAGAAAAAACATCCTACTACCTCAAACAGTTTGAAAATTATCATTTAAAAAAAAAAGGGCACGTGGGAGAAAGCTGCTGCTCTCAAAATGAACATCAGCATGGTGGCCAGAAGAAAATGATTGAGCTGGATAGAAGATACAACCCATATGGGCTCCTACATCTCATTAAGGCTCTCCTCCTACAAACACCCATGCACATGCTTGACGTGACGCTGTGAGAACTCTCGGTGACTGCAAGGCTACGCGCTGTAGTAGCACAGTTAAATACCAGGCAACTGCAGGATCAACGTGTTTCACCTGAGCCAACGGGGAAGCCAATGAAACAGAAAACCACAGAAATCAAGCATGCTGTGAGGGTTTAGTTGCATGACAAAATGAAACTGAACAAAGCAAGTGAAGAATCAGCTGTAGATGTGTACAGAACATTACTGTCCCAAAAGCTCGACCTTATGGAATGCTATAACTATGCTATTTTAAATTGTTTCAACACCTCTGTATACTTTGTAAAACGCACAGGGATACTTGTAACCAGCATGCATCATAACACACACTGTGAAGTACCAGGGCGCTCTGTTGCCGTAACTCAGGGCATTTCAATGGCCCAAAAGCACGCTCCCCATTAAAAATGTAGGCACTTCACATTGTCTAAAGCACAGTGCGAACAATGACCGACCGAACACGCTTTCACCTCCTTTGTCAATCAAGTCAAGACAGCCAAGTCATGCAAACAGCCTGCTGATGAGAGCATCTCAATACACTGCTTCACTCAAAGGAAGAAAATGATGCTTTTCACAATGGAAATCTTACGGACTACTTCCCTGGCACAGCAGACCAATGGGAACTCATATTTGGAAGATACAGTATGAACAAAATTTAAGTCAACATGGTAGAACAAATGAGAAGAAAGAAAAAGCAGAGCACCACATGCTTGTTTAAGCACCAACTGGTATTTCCAGGACAAACTTTCTGAACCCATTAACTGGGAGAGTGCAAGTTTGGGTTGTTTTCGGGTTTTTTTTGGGGGGGGGGGGGTTAGCTTAAATTAACTACTGTTATGTCAGCTTCACCATCTCACAAAGATTTCCACAGTTACTCAATGTAAGGTAATCAAGAGAGAACTGACAGCTAAAGCTTTCAGAAATCCGCACCATTCCGACACTGAGCACAAAGCCGATTCCTTTCGGATGACAACAGACACCGAGAGATCAACATCTCAGGAAGGGAGTTGTTCTTGTGGCATCTTTAGTTTCAGCCGTTTCCCTTATTGCCCCCTAATCCTCAATCATTTCTACTCCTGAGGAAAACACAGGTAAATCTCCACCCAAACCACAGAAAACAGTCCGCCCCAAACCACAGTCAGAACGTATCTGGCTGCCTGCACATCTCCAAGGGGTCCTCCGTACATCAGTGACAAAAAAGCACAGAACAACAAAAAGATTCAGGTCGCTGCCACATCCACGAAACATGTCTTCCAGCTCCAATTAAACACTTGAAAGAGAATTTTTAAAATCCACGAGCTTTTGTACGGGGACAGAAGGGACAGAAGGGACTGCATCGGGGGGGAAGGGGGGTGCAAGCAGCCCATATCTGGGCAACAGCAAAAAAAATCAACAAGTCAGCGCAGCCCGGTGCGGAGCAAAAGCCGCCTTGAAAGGTGCGGACGTACCTCGTGGAAGTGCCTTTCCTGACATCGCAGATGCTGCATTTGAAGGCTTCGGCGCTGTTCCTGAAGGTGCACACGCTACAATCCCAAAAGCCTTCGTCGGCTGCAGGTTTGGCTTGCCTTTTCGGCCTTGAGGAGGGGGAGGGAGAGGGGAAGCGTGTGTGTGTGTGT